CATGCCCGACAGCGAGCGCTTCAAGACGACGAACCACGTCATGTCCGCGTTTTCCGTGCCAGACCACGCCCACCCGCAGACCTCCGACGATCTCCGCAAACACTCGCTGAGAGAGTACAAGGCCCGTTGGCAGTGGGCACAGGGGAGTCATGGAGGCAGCATAACCACTACATTGGCACCTACATATGTATAGCTTTGCTCATACATTTGATGCATGTGTATACGCATCTACAGATGTATGCTCACATGTGTACATGCATTTCATGAGCACCTAGATGCGTTTACACCTAGATGTATTCGTTTGTATGTATACATCCAAATGCATGTGGATTCATTGACGTGCGTGAATCGGTATAATACCTCCTATATATATACACATACATCCATATACGAACGCGTTTCTTTGTTTTCGACGATGGCGGGCGTCATGGGGGGGGGCGGGGGGGGTATGACGTACCCCCCCCCCGTCTTGGGTCCACGACGACCCCAAAGAAGCCGTCATACCCCCAGAGATCCTTCCAAAACGTCCCAAGAAGCCTCCAAAAGCACTCCCAAGAAGGCTCCAAGAGGCAACATTCATTGATCTTCTAATGGTTTTTGGTGAACTTTGGGGTTCTCCTCCTTTCGGCTTTCCGACGCTCCAAGACGGCGGTTTTTTGGGCGTCAGAAGCCGCTTGGGAGGCTCGAAAATCGCCCCACAACCATCCGAAAGGGCTTCCAGGCAGTCCAAGAGAGCCCCAAGACGGCACAACAGGGTTCCAAGATGGCCTACGAGAGCCCCAAGATGGCCCCTAAGACACCCTCTGAAGCATTCGACATCGTGGCCCGGTCGTTCCAGAAGACCGCGGTTGGAGGCAGGGTGGCCCGAGGAAGCCCCTGGAGGCCCCCAGAAGACGCCCAGGAGGCCTCCAGAAGGCTTTCAGAAAGCTTGAAACACTTGTTTTGGGGCCCCCAGAGGCTTTCCATGGAGGAGCCTCCGCAATAAGAGCTGAAGAGGATGGGGAGAATTCGCAGGGTGTGGCGAGAATGAGCCAAAAAAAACACATGAAGGATAACCAACAAAATTATTACAACGGCGATGTCGGACAAGGTAAATTGTCGGCCTGGCTTTCCTGCCAATCCACCTGCACACCAAACATCAATGACCGGGGTGCATGGCGCGCAGCGCCAATTCAGTCTTGCATCTATTCGATAGGCATTATCATGATTATTACTATTGTTGTTGGTATTATTATTATTAATAATATTATTATTATTTTTATTATTCTTATTACTGTTACTGTTATTGTTTTCATTCGTATTATTAGCATTACTACTATTACTATTACAATTATTTGTATGATTAGTATTATTATATGTATATGAGTGTATGATGTACATGGTAGGTTGAGCCTTCATTTCTTGAGAATGATTAGTGTTGATCCCCCCGCCCATGCAGCCCTCATTCTTTTTTCAATTGAAGTTCCTCCCCCTGGGGCTCGCACCTAGTGTTTTATCAGGTGGATAGCGCAGGCTCAAAGCTTGGTCGTTGATCCCCAGTTTGCAAGAACAGCTGCTCCCGCCGGATCCTACTTCGCATTTTATTCAACATCGCGCTCTCGCGCGGGACTTCCTCACAGTGTATTCAGACGCCGCGCCCTCGACGTCTAGGAATCGCGCTCTCGCACGAGCCCCTTGACAGTTGACTCAGAAATCGTGTTCTCGCTTCAGGCTTCTCCACAATTTAGAAGTTCGCCTCAATGCCCCGCCCGCCCATTAGGGCCCGCCTGCCCGACCCGCTCGTTTGGGCCCGCCCGCCCGACCCGCCCGTTAGAGTCCGCCCGCCCGACCCGCCTGTTAGGGTCCACCTCTTCACTTGCTTGGAGTCCCGCGCGCTCGCTTTCATGTCCCGCCCGCCCGAGCCACCCATTCGACCGCCCGGCTCGCCCGTTGGGTCCGCCCACCGCGCGGTCGCACGACCCGTAGGACCAACCCACCGCGAGATCACGCCGGCAGATCTGAAACCAACGGACAGGGTGGCCGCGGACGACTTGGCAGGCGGTGGCTGTGGATCGGGCCCCGGGGGGCCGTCGTCGGGCCCAGGCCGGCTGCTCTTGGCGCCGAGGTTGCCCGCTGCTGGCAGCCTCAGGGCTGGCCCTCGTGGCCTGCTTTCGCGGCCTGGCGTCGGGGCACAGAATCACGGGAGGAAAAGCCACCTGCACCCTATAATCGGCGTTTACTAGACGGCCTTGGGCGTTTAGCAAACAGCCCTGCCCTGTTCGATTCCTTCTGTGGGCGCGTTTTCTAGATGGCTTCGCGTGTCGGAGTGACTATTATGGGGGCTCTACAGAAGAACCCGCCTTGATTTTCTCAAGACTCAGAGGAAACCGCCTTTTGCCCTCCGGGGCCTCACGGGAGGCCTTTGTCGCCACGGCTGGATTCCCTTCCCCGTCAGAGCGCGCCCTGGGAGAGGTCTGGGGAGCACTGGCATCGGCACCTTTCGGCTTCCCCCAAAAAGCGC